CACAAACCTGACATCACCCCCTGACATCACCCCTGACACAACCTGTCATCACCCCCTGACATCACAACCTGACATCACCCCCCATGACATCACCCCCTGACATCACCCCCTGACACAACCTGACATCACCCCCTGACACAACCTGCCATCACCCCCTGACATCACCTGCCTCCATCACCCACCACCTGACATCACCCCCTGACATCACCCCCTGACACAACCTGCCATCACCCCCTGACATCACAACCTGACATCACCCCCTGACATCACAACCTGACATCACCCCCTGACACAACCAACCTGACATCACCCCCTGACACAACCTGACATCACCCCCTGACACAACCTGACATCACCCCCTGACACAGCCTGACATCATCACCTGACATCACCCCCCCTGACACAGCCTGACATCACCCCTCACATCCCCTGACATCATCCCCTGACACAGCCTGACATCATCCCCTGACACAACCCCTGACATCATCCCCTGAGATCACCCCCTGACATAACCTGACATCATCCCCCCCTGACATCACCCCCTGACATAACCTGACATCATCCCCTGACACAACACAACCTGATATCACCCCCTGACATCACATCCCCTGACATCACCCCCTGACATCATCACCTTCCACAACTCTGCAATTTGACTGTTGACATAATGACTATTGAGACCTCCATATTCTAATCTGCATTTCTCCCCCATATCTCCCTGACCCCCTCTACTCTCACCCATTGCTTCCTTTTGCTGCTCCTCCAATCGTTCCTTCTGTCGGTGGTCTCAGGGCTCTGTCTTTAGGCCTTGAGGTGATGGGGCTCCAGGTGGATTACTGGCAGTGGCAGGGAAACGGATCGCAGGAAAGATGGAGACAGGAGAGACACGGCCACTAAAAACACAATCAAGGGGAATTTCCGTTCACTGCAAGTCAGCCGTCTCCCCCCACCTGGAGAGAACAACCTGCCACTTGGCATGGCCATGACCATTGTCACCCAGGAGAAGAACAAGAAGGGTGAGTGCTGGACCTTGTGACCCAAAAATCTTTCCTGCCATGTGAGGCTCATCATGTTCCTCCACAATCATCCATGGAGGGGTCTATGGAATACTACGGGAAGGAGGTGCCCTAAACACATCTCTACATACAGCTGCAGAAACGGCATTCCCCTCTCTACACCTTCATATCACCTTTCACGTCATCTGGGGATGGGGGGTGCAGGCAGCCCTGAAGGTTGGAGAGCTACTGAGAGCCAAGAGATTGCCAGCGTGCAGAACACTTTTTATTTATAGATCACCTTGCAAGGTGTGACGCGTGCAAGGGCCACGGGTATGGCTGGCCATAGAATATTCATTCATTCACCAGCAGGCTGAATGGAAAAAACAAGTGCCCCCCCCCCCATCCACACAAGGAATCCCCCCACTGTGCCATTGTATTCTGATGGGGATTCTCACTCATCAGCACTGCAGCCCTTTGAAGGGGAAATATTCCAACATTCCGTTGGCCAGAAGTTGATCTTTATGTTGACTTCTGTAGAGCAGAGAAGCCATAGATGGATTGGAATCCATCTACAGCCAGCTTCAGTAAAGCAGAGCGCACGCAGAGTTCAGTAATAGGTCAGAGATCAGGGCTTGGTATCGTCACCCAGAATTTGGGGGGCCAATAATGATGCAGAGTTCAGAGGACATGAGTAATGCAGCACGCAGGGGTCAGGAGTAACACAGAGTGTATGAGGCACTACAGCTAGCAGCATGTCCTTCCCTCTATCATACACTGAGCTGTCACTGGCCCTTGGGAAGCACAGGGGCCCCACACACTCCTCTTTTACCCCACCCCCCAAGTTACTTTCATCATGGTGGAAAACCACCAGCCAGTGAACCACCAGCCAATGAGACGTGCTGGTGTGGAGTGATAGCGTGCTGCTAGAGCATGGTATCCGAATACTTTGGTCGATATATCAGATCCCTGGGTTTCTGGCTGGCTCTGGGTCAGGAAATGGCAGCATGGTGGGTCATGATGTACTCGTCACATGACTGCAACTGACCAGTTGCCAACTGTTTGTCTTGAGTCTTGTATCCTGGAGGAGAACAGATAGAAGTGAGATCCTGGGACCATTCATAGCCATCCCTTCTAGAGAAGATCTTCAGAGGACCATCATTCCCCACCACCAAGTACCATCCAGAGTCCTCTCTCTGCTTTCTTACCCAGAATCCTTTCTTTCCTTTACCCAGATATCACATACCTAGAACATTCTATTCCTGTTCCCTTACCCAGAATCCATCCTTACCAACAATCCTTTCCCAATGCTACCTTACCCACAATCCTCTGCCCTGTTACCTTAATTTGAATCCTTCCCCCACCCCCCGTTTCCCTATCCACAATCCTTTCTCCTTGTTCCCATTACCCAGAATCCTCTGTCCCTGTTCTTGTACCTAGAATCTTCTCCCCTTGTCACCTTACCCACAATCCTGGCTCCCAGAATCCTCTCCTCCCCCAATCAGTCTATCTGCCCTGTTTGTTCCCCACATTCCTGCAGGCAGTAATTCCACGTAATGAGAATGGTGGATCTCACAATGGGCGCCATGTTGTCTCTCCTCTCCTAGTCATGTTCCTCAGTAAGAAGCCCAAAGAGAAGGAAGCTGAATCTCGCAGTCAGGTGATTGAGGGGATCAGCCGCCTCATTTGTACAGCCAAGAACCAGAACACCATGCTGCGAGGTGAGTGGCCGATACTGATGTGGCTTCTTGTTGGTGTCATTGGTGATCTGATCTCTCATTATTGTTCTCTGCAGTCACCATCGATGGGGTGGAGTGGAATGATGTCAAATTTTTCCAGCTGGCCGCTCAGTGGCCGACCCACGTCAAGCAGTTCCCCGTGGGTGTATTTTGGTCATGTGAAGATGTGATGTCATTGTGATGTCATCGGAGGAAGATCAATCACTGTGTTTTCCCTTCCTGAGTCAGTGACTTCAAGTAGGGAGTTGTGTAGTTTTTATGGTCACTTTTCCTACAAAATGAAGATATTTTTGAAATATGTGTGTAAAAAAAAAAATCAGACTGTGGAGTCTCCGTGACCGTATTCTTACTAGAACCTCACATATCGCTTCGTTTTCACAACGTTCTGAAACGCTGCATTGCCGATTTCTCCCGCCATTTTCCCTTTTCCAAGAGCTAGAAGGGAGTGTCTTCCATTTCCCCCCCACCAGGCTCTAGGAGGAAGCATTTTCAATTCCCTCCCTACCCCACCTGGTTCTAGAAGGGGGTGTCATCTATATCCCCATGCCTGGTGCCAGAAGGGAGAATCCCCTCCCCCAACTCCACTGCCTGGTTCTAGAGAGAGAGTGTCATCCATTCCCCCCATCTGATTCTAGAAGAAAGCATAGTCTATTCCCTACCCCCACTTGGTTCTAGAAGGAAGCGATGTCCATCCCCCAACCACCACCACTTACTCCGACTGTCTGGTTCTAGAAGAGGTTGTAATCTATATCCTCTGCCTGGAACCAGGCATGAGTGTCATCCATTCGCCCTGTCGGGTTGTAGAAGGAAACATAGTCTATTTCCCACCTCAGCCCCGTTTGGCACTAGAAGGAAGTAATATTCATCCCCCCCCCCCCACTGCCTGGTTCTGTCATCTATATCCCCGTCTGGATGTTCTAGAAAGGAGCATCATTCATTTATCTTGTACATATCTCTGGAAAAGTGTTCATTTCACTGCCGGCAGGGAGATTCTCTCATCGCCCTCCGGTACATTTCAGGGAAAAATGTATAACTGAAGAAGAAGCAGGAATCAGTATTATTACCTCTTCCAGTTTAACAATTATTCCAATAAATATAGTATGTCGGCTCATGGTTTGGTAATGTAATTTTGATGACTGATTGGGGGGTGTTGGGGTTCCATTACTCCCCAGAGTCAGACTTTTCTGCCATGTGAGGTCTCCATGTGTGAGGAATAGAAACGGTTAGAGGCCCAAGAATAGCCCCCTCTGGAGTAGAGAAGGTGGGAGACCCAAGAATAGCACCCTCCTAGAATACAGAAGGTGGGAGACCCAAGAATAGCCCCCTCTGGAATAGAGAAGGTGTGAGACCCAAGAATAGCCCCATATGGAATAGAGATGTTGGGAGACCCAAGAATAGCACCCTCCTGGAATACAGAAGGTGGGAGACCCAAGAATTGCCCCCTCTGGAATAGAAACGGTTAGAGGCCCAAGAATAGCCCCCTCTGGAGTAGAGAAGGTGGGAGACCCAAGTATAGCCCCCTCTGGAATAGAGAAGGTGTGAGACCCTAGAATAGTCCCGTATGGAATACAGAAGGCTGGAGACCCAAGAATAGCCCCGTATGGAATAGAGATGGCGGGAGATGCAAGAATAGCCCCCTCTGGAGTAGAGAAGGTGGGAGACCCAAGAATAGCCCCCTCCTGGAATACAGAAGGTGGGAGACCCAAGAATAGCCCCCTCTTGAATAGAGAAGGTGGGAGACCCAAGAATAGCCCCCTCTGGAGTAGAGAAGGTGGGAGACCCAAGAATAGCACCCTCCTAGAATACAGAAGGTGGGAGACCCAAGAATAGCCCCCTCTGGAATAGAGAAGGTGTGAGACCCAAGAATAGCCCCATATGGAATAGAGATGTTGGGAGACCCAAGAATAGCCCCCTCTGGAATACAGAAGGTGGGAGACCCAAGAATAGCCCCCTCTGGAATAGAAATGGTTAGAGGCCCAAGAATAGCCCCCTCTGGAGTAGAGAAGGCTAGAGACCCAAGAATAGCCCCGTATGGAATAGAGATGGCGGGAGATGCAAGAATAGCCCCCTCTGGAATAGAGAAGGTGGGAGACCCAAGAATAGCCCCCTCTGGAGTAGAGAAGGTGGGAGACCCAAGTATAGCCCCTCTGGAATAGAGAAGGTGTGAGACCCTAGAATAGTCCCGTATGGAATACAGAAGGCTGGAGACCCAAGAATAGCCCCGTATGGAATAGAGATGGCGGGAGATGCAAGAATAGCCCCCTCTGGAGTAGAGAAGGTGGGAGACCCAAGAATAGCCCCCTCCTGGAATACAGAAGGTGGGAGACCCAAGAATAGCCCCCTCTGGAATAGAGAAGGTGGGAGACCCAAGAATAGCCCCCTCTGGAATAGAGAAGGTGGGAGACCCAAGAATAGCCCCCTCTGGAATAGAGAAGGTGGGAGACCCAAGAATAGCCCCCTCTGGAATAGAGAAGGTGGGAGACTCAAGAATAGCCCCGTATGGAATAGAGAAGGTGGGAGACCCAAGAATAGCCCCGTATGGAATACAGAAGGTGGGAGACCCAAGAATAGCCCCGTATGGAATATAGAAGGTGAGAGACCCAAGAATAGCCCCATAAGAATAGAGAAGGCGGGAGACACAAGAATAGCCCCCTCTGGAATAGAGATGGTTGGAGGACCAAGAATAGCCCCCTCTGATATATAGAAGGTGGGAGATGCAAGAATAGCCCCGTATGGAATATAAAAGGTGGGAGATGCAAGAATAGCCCCCTCTGATATATAGAAGGTGGGAGATGCAAGAATAGCCCCGTATGGAATATAGAAGGTGGGAAACCCGAGAATAGCCCCCTCTGGAATATAGAAGGTGGGAGACCCGAGAATAGCCCGTATGGAATAGAGATGGTGGGAGACCCAAGAATAGCCCCCTCTGGAATATAGAAGGCGGGAGACCCAATAATATCCCCGTATGGAATAGAGATGGTTGGAGGACCAAGACTAGCCCACCTTTTCGATTCCATACGGGGATATTATTGGGTCTCCCGCCTTCTATATTCCAGAGGGGGCTATTCTTGGGTCTCCCACCATCTCTATTCCATACGGGGCTATTCTTGGGTCTCCCACCATCTCTACTCCATAAGGGGCTATTCTTTGGTCTCCCACCATCTCTACTCCATACGGGCCTATTCTTGGGTCTCTCACCTTTTCTACTCCATACGGGACTATTCTTGGGTCTTCCACCTTTTCGATTCCATACGGGACTATTCTTGGGTCTTCTATATTCCAGAGGGGAAGACCCAAGAATAACCCCGTATGGAGTAGAGATGGTGGGAGACCCAAGAATAGCCCCTTATGGAGTAGAGATGGTGGGAGACCCAAGAATAGCCCTGTATGGAATAGAGAAGGTGGGAAACCCAAGAATAGCCCCGTATGGAATACAGAAGGCGGGAGACCCAAGAATAGCCCCGTATGGAGTAGAGAAGGCGGGAGACCCAAGAATAGCCCCGTATGGAATACAGAAGGCGGGAGACCTAAGAATAGCCCCGTATGGAATACAGAAGGCTGGAAACCCAAGAATAGCCCCGTATGGAATAGAGATGGCGGGAGATGCAAGAATAGCCCCCTCTGGAGTAGAGAAGGTGGGAGACCCAAGAATAGCCCCCTCTGGAATAGAGAAGGTGGGAGACCCAAGAATAGCCCCGTATGGAATACAGAAGGCGGGAGACCCAAGAATAGCCCCGTATGGAGTAGAGAAGGTGGGAGAGCCAAGAATAGCCCCGTATGGAATACAGAAGGCGGGAGACCTAAGAATAGCCCCGTATTGAGTAGAGATGGTGGGAGACCCAAGAATAGCCCCTATGGAATAGAGAAGGTGGGAGACCCAAGAATAGCCCCGTATGGAATACAGAAGGTGGGGAGACCCAAGAATAGCCCCGTATGGAATACAGAGGCGGGAGACCCAGAATAGCCCCGTATGGAATACAGAGGCGGGAGGGGGACCCAAGAATAGCCCCGTATGGAATACAGAATAGACCCAAGAATAGCCCCGTATGGAATAGAGAGGTGGGAGATGCAAAAATAGCCACCTCTGGCGTAGAGAAGGTGGGAGACCCAAGAATAGCCCCGTATGGAATAGAGAAGGTGGGAGACCCAAGAATAGCCCCGTATGGAATAGAGAAGGTGGGAGACCCAAGAATAGCCCCGTATGGAGTAGAGATGGCGGGAGACCCAAGAATAGCCCCGTATGGAATAGAGAAGGGGGGAGACCCAAGATTAGCCCCGTATGGAATAGAGAAGGTGGGAGACCCAAGAAAAGCCCCGTATGGCATAGAGATGGTTGGAGGACCAAGAATAGTCCCCTCTGGAATATAGAAGGCGGGAGACCCAAGAAAAGCCCCGTATGGAATAGAGATGGTTGGAGGACCAATAATAGTCCCCTCTGGAATATAGAAGGTGGGAGATGCAAGAATAGCCCCATATGGAATAGAGAAGATAGGAGACCCAAGAATAGTCCCGTATGGAATAAAGATGGTGGGAGATGCAAGAATAGCCCCGTATGGAATAGAGAAGGTGGGAGACGCAAGAATAGCCCTGTATGGAATAGAAAAGGCGGAAGACCCAAGAATAGCCCCGTATGGAGTAGAGATGGTGGGGAGACCCAAGAATAGCCCCGTATGGAGTAGAGAAGGTGGGAGACCCAAGAATAGCCCCGTATGGAATATAGAAGGCGGGAGACCCAAGAATAGCCCCGTATGGAATACTGAAGGCGGGAGACCCAAGAATAGCCCCGTATGGAGTAGAGATGGTGGGAGACCCAAGAATAGCCCCGTATGGAGTAGAGATGGTGGGAGACCCCAGAATAGCCCCGTATGGAATACAGAAGGCGGGAGACCCTAGAATAGCCCTGTATGGAATACAGAAGGTGGGAGACCCAAAAATAGCCCCGTATGGAATAGAGATGGCAGGAGATGCAAGAATAGCCCCCTCTGGAATAGAGAAGGTGGGAGACCCAAGAATAGCTCCCTCTGGAGTAGAGAAGGTGGGAGACCCAAGAATAGCCCCGTATGGAATACAGAAGGCGGGAGACCCAAGAATAGCCCCGTATGGAGTAGAGATGGTGGGAGACCCAAGAATAGCCTCGTATGGAGTAGAGAAGGTGGGAGACCCAAGAATAGCCCCTCTGGAATAGGGATGGTGGGAAACCCAAGAATAGCCCCGTATGGAATAGAGAAGGTGGGAGACCCAAGAATAGCCCCTCTGGAATAGGGATGGTGGGGAGACCCAAAAATAGCCCCGTATGGAATACAGAAGGCTGGAGACCCAAGAATAGCCTTCTCCTGGAATATAGATGGCAGAAGAAGATGCAAGAATAGCTCCGTATGGAGTAGAGAAGCTGGTAGACCGAAGAATAGCCCCGTATGGAGTAGAAAAGGTGGGAGACCCAAGAATAGCCCCGTATGGAGTAGAAAAGGTGGGAGACCCAAGAATAGCCCCGTATGGAGTAGAGAAGGTGGAAGACCCAAGAATAGCCCCGTATGGAGTAGAGAAGGTGGACGACCGAAGAATAGCCCCGTATGGAGTAGAGATGGTGGGAGACCCAAGAATAGCCCCCTCTGGAATAGAGATGGTGGGAAACCCAAGAATAGCCCCGTATGGAATAGAGAAGGTGGGAGACCCAAGAATAGCCCCCTCTGGAATAGAGAAGGTGGGAGACCCAAGAATAGCCCCCTCTAGAATAGAGAAGGTGGGAGACCCAAGAATAACCCCATATGGAATAGAGAAGGTGGGAGACCCAAGAATAGCCCCCTCTGGAATAGAGAAGGTGGGAGACCCAAGAATAGCCCCGTATGGAATACAGAAGGCGAGAGACCCAAGAATAGCCCCGTATGGAGTAGAGATGGGCGGTGAGACCGAAGAATAGCCCGTATGGAATACAGAAGGCAGGAGACCCGAAAATAGCCCCGTATGGAATACAGAAGGCGGGAGACCCGAGAATAGCCCCGTATGGAGTAGAGATGGTGAGAGACCCAAGAATAGCTTCCTCCTGGAATAGAGATGGTGGGAGACCCAAGAATAGCCCCTCTGGAATAGAGATGGTGGGAGACCTAAGAATAGCCTCCTCCTGGAATAGAGATGGTGGGAGACCCAAGAACAGCCCCGTATGGAGAGAAGTAGAGAATAGCCCCGTGGAATACAGAAGGGCGTAGAGAAGCCCCGTGGAGACCCCGTATGCGAATAGAGAGGCGGAGGAGACCCAAGAATAGCCCCGTATGGAATACAGAAGGCGGGAGAGCCAAGAATAGCCCCGTATGGATTAGAGAAGGCGGGAGACAAGAATAGCCCCGTATGGAGTAGAGATGGCGGGAGACCCAAGAATAGCCCCGTATGGAGTAGAGATGGCGGAGACCCAAGAATAGCCCCGTATGGAGTAGAGAAGGCGGGAGACCCAAGAATAGCCCCGTATGGAGTAGAGAAAGGCGGGAGACCCAAGAATAGCCCCGTATGGAATACAGAAGGCGGGAGAGCCAAGAATAGCCCCGTATGGAGTAGAGAAGGCGGGAGACCCAAGAATAGCCCCGTATGGAGTAGAGAAGGCGGGAGACCCAAGAATAGCCCCGTATGGAGTAGAGATGGCGGGAGAGAATAGCCCCGTATGGAATACAGAATAGGAGACCCCCCGTATGGAGTAGAGATGGTGGGAGACCCAAGAATAGCCCCGTATGGAGTAGAGAAGGTGGGAGACCCAAGAATAGCCCCGTATGGAGTAGAGAAGGTGGGAGACCTGTGATAAGAGCCGTATGAGATGCCTCATCTTCTCTGTGTACACTTCCTGTGAAATGTGATGTCATTTATTGTTGATGGAAATTTGATACATTGATGAATAAATTGAGGCGTACGAAGGATCGTGTTGTTACATTTGTGTTCCGTCTAGATCTTTGCTGGAGTTATTTATATCTATACTTTCCCTACATGGGAATATCGTTATGTAAATGAGCATTTCTGGAGCTGAGGACATGAAGAACCAGAAACATCAACTGTATCCTCAAGAGCCACGCCGCATGTGAAATGTCCATGTCTGATTCGCTGCTGGGACAGGTTGGGTGACACCATTGCCACAGCAAATGAACAGACAGGTTCACAAGCAGATCTCCGCTGATCATCTGAATTCAGGTTTGTAGAAAGGAAATCTGTTCCTGAAGGAATCCATGATCTAATCCAGCCATTCTCAACCAGGAGTCCTCCGGAGGAGGCCTGGAGTTCCATGAGCTTTGGCTGATTGACCTCACATCTGATAGGACCTGCATAGTTCCAGAGCTCCACCCCACACAGTACAGCCAGACGTATGACAGCAGAGATCTTTTGTAGCGGTCTGTAAGGGCGACATTCTTCCCACCGACCCCGTGAGGGGCGTTCTTCCCACCGACCCCCAACGTGAGGGGCGTTCTTCCCACCCGAGACCCCCAACGGGACGGGGCGTTCTTCCCACCGACCCCCAACGGGACGGGGCGTTCTTCCCACCGACCCCCAACGGGACGGGGCGTTCTTCCCCACCGACCCCCAACGTAAGGGCCATTATCCCCACTGACCCCACCCCCCAATGTGAGCGACGTTCTTCCACGCCGACCCCCCCCCAATGTGAGGGGCGTTCTTCCCGCCGACCTCCCCCCAATGTGAGGGACGTTCTTCCCGCCGACCTCCCCCCAATGTGAGGGGCGTTCTTCCCCACCGACCCCCAACGTGAGGGGCGTTCTTCCCACCGACCCCCAACGGGAATGGGCCCTTCTTCCCACCGACCCCCAACGTAAGGGCCATTATCCCCACTGCCCCCCCCCCAATATAAGCGACGTTCTTCCCGCCGACCCCCCCCAATGTGAGGGGCGTTCTTCCCGCCGAACCCCCCCCCAATGTGAGGGGTGTTCTTCCCACCGACCCCCCCCCAATGTGATGGGGTGTTCTTCCCACCGACCTCCCCCCAATTGTGAGGGACGTTTCTTCCCGCCGACCTCCCCCCAATGTGAGGGACGTTCCTCCCACCGACCCCCAATGTAAGGGACATTCTTCCCACCGACCACCAATGTAAGGGACATTCTTCCCGCCGACCCCCCAATGTAAGGGGACATTCTTCCCGCCGACCCCTCAATGTAAGGGACATTCTTCCCACTGATCACCAATGTAAGGGACATTCTTCCCACTGACCCCCAATGTAAGGGACATTCTTCCCACTGACCCCTTCAATGTAAGGGACATTCTTCCCACTGACCCCTCAATGTAAGGGACATTCTTCCCACTGACCCCCCAATGTAAGGGACGTTCTTCCCGGCCGACCCACAATGTAAGGGAAAAACGTTCTCCCACCGACCCCCAATGTAAGGGACATTCTTCCCCGCGACTGTAAGGGGACGTTCTTCCCAGCCGACCCCCAATGTAAGGGACATTCTTCCCACTGACCCCCCAATGTAAGGGACATTCTTCCCACTGACCCCCCAATGTAAGGGACATTCTTCCCCCACTGACCCCAATGGGTAGGGGGACATTCTTCTCGCACTGACCCCCAATGTAAGGGACATTCTTCCACTGACCCCCCAATGTAAGGAGGGACATTCTTCCCACTGGACCCCCCCAATGTAGGGACATTCTTCCCAGCCGACCCCCCCCAATGTAGGGACATTCTTCCCCCACCGACCCCCCCAATGTAGGGACGTTCTTCCCGCCGACCCCCCCAATGTAAGGGACGTTCTTCCCGCCGACCCCCCCAATGTAAGGGACGTTCTTCCCGCCGACCCCCAATGTGAGGGACATTCTTCCCCGCCGACCCTCCAATGCAAGGGACATTCTTCCCGCCGACCCTCCAATGCAAGGGACATTCTTCCACTGATCACCAATGTAATGGGGACATTCTTCCCAGCTGACCCCCAATGTAAGGGACATTCTTCCCCGACTGACCCCCAAATGGGTAAGGGACATTCTTCCCACTGACCCCCAATCAATGGACATTCTTCCCGCTGACCCCCAATGGGAGGGACATTCTTTCCCGCCTGACCCCCCCAATGTTGAGGGACATTCTTCCGCACGACCCCCCCAATGCGAGGGACATTCTTCCCACTGACCCCCCCCCAATGTAAAGGGACATTCTTCCCACTGACCCCCCAATGTAAGGGACATTCTTCCCCCACGACCCCCAATGTAAGGGACATTCTTCCCACTGACCCCCAATGTAAGGGACATTCTTCCCACTGACCCCCCAATGTAAGGGACATTCTTCCCACCTGACTCCCAATGTAAGGGACATTCTTCCCACTGATCCCCAATGATTTGGTCTTGGTAGGGTTCCCTGAGCCGTGGAAATGATTTCCCAGGTCCCCCTGGGGTAGGAAGGCAGATCTGATATCCAGAATAACCATGTGAAGGCCCCAATTTCAGTTTCTTTATTACCGCCCCCCAGAAGGGATACATTACACTGAACAGAATTCACACAATAAAATCCAACAAATGTTTTTGAGAATTTGGTCATCTGACACGTTGCCGGGGAGATACGAAGCAGCTGCCGGTACATTACTGCCGGTACAAACGGGACTCCACCTCCAACGCGTTTCACCTGCTGAATGGGGGCGGAGTTACACTTGGCGGGGAAGGACACGTCTGAGTGATCTCGTTCGATGACGATAAAAGTTTTTTGCAGCTCATTATATGAGTGTGTGGTGAGGAGGCGGAGCTTACAAGGGAAGGGGGCGGGAGCCCAGCAGGCAGACTACCCGGGACCGGTAGCTGTGTAGTCACCTGATTGGTGGATTTGTCAGAACCTGCACCAACCTCCGAGGATCTGTCATCCATTCCTGGGAAATCGGCTCCCAGCTACTCCGGGTACCGGAAGGTCCGGAACATCGGCCTCTCCTCCGTTACCGATCCGATGTTGTTGGTTGTTTTGCGGGACGCTGCAGAACTCTGACACCTGTGGGGGGATGGGCGTGGCAGGCTTGCTGTGTGACATCACAGGGATGAGTGGGGGACGGGATAGATGAGGCGCCGGTCTATTGCCAATGAATTGCCTATTCTTCGGGTTCTTGGAGATGGTGCCCTCCCGGAGCCGGCACATTATACCGGACAATGCATCGAGGGCACTGCAGCCGAGACCAGCAAAAGGGGGCGTGTCCATCTGCTTCGGGGAAGCAGCAATCACCTGAAAGGGGAGGAGACAGAATAAGACAAGTCATGCTCCAGCGGTGACATAGCAGAGGGGCGGAGCAGGGACTGAACTGTCCTATTGTGGGTGGAGCAAAGATTACCTTCATGAGGACAAAATCAGACCAATCACAGAGGAGATCACATCTTCACCCCCCAGGTACAGGCCGTGTTGTTACCCTGACCAGGCTGTTGTTGTCCAGGACCGTGCTGTCACCGGTGTTGATCACCCTGACCGCGGGATGGTCACCCTTGAACTGACCAGGCTGTGTCACCAGCTAGACCGGACCGTGCTGTCACCCGAACTGGGACCAGGCTGTCACCGTTGTCACTTGACCAGGACCGTGCTGTCACCCTGAATGGGCTGTCAGACGTGTGCTGTCACCCTGACCGGGACCGTGCTGTCACCCTGACCGGGACCGTGCTGTCACCCTGACCGGGACCGTGCTGTCACGCTGAATGGGACCGTGCTGTCACCCTGACCGGGACCGTGCTGTCACCCTGAATGTGGACCCTGAATGGGACCTGTGATGGGAGTGACTTTTGGGGGTGGGGGGACCTCTGTGTCAGCTCATGTTCTCCTCATTATGTTTAATTCACCCTGTGCCTGTTAGGGGGGGTACAGGGTGTGAATGTCCTAGTATTGTGTATTGGTGTGTTGTCCTTTGTTCTCGGCCATGTGCGTAGCCCTTCCCACTGATGGGGCGGGCTGATGATGTGTTTCCTGTAGCCCTTCCCACTGATGGGGCAGGCTGATGATGTGTTTCCTGTAGCCCTTCCCACTGATGATGATGTGTTTCCTGTAGCCCTTCCCACTGATGGGGCGGGCGGATGATGTGTTTCCTGTTCCTGGTTGTGTTGCCCCGCCCTGTGTATATAACTTGTGTGTTTAAAATAAAGGAGTTGACTTCCTGTTTTAAGAAGAGTCGGGTGCTGTCTATTTCCTGAGGGATTTCAAGGGTGTGGGTCCGTGGATGGTGTTCGGACAGGGAAGCTGCGGTATACCGGAATATACCCAAGTGCGGTCTGGGGTCCGGTTCTGTTACAGGACCGTGCTGTCACCCTGAATGGGGACCGTGTTGTCCCCTGACCAGGACCGTGTTGTCACTTTGACTGGGGACCGTGTTGTCACCCTGATCGGGACCGTGCTGTCACCTGACCAGGACCGTGTTGTCACCTGACCAGGACCTTGTTGTCACCCAGTCACATGCACCCCCTGTGGCCGCTGGTTTCAGGGGGCCGGTCTCCAGCGATGGCGTGCAGCTGAAGGCGGGGAATGTAGACAGGTGACAGCAACACTGAGATGGGGAAAAGGATGAAAATATTTCCTGAAGAATCGCTGCTGCTGGACGGCACCGCAGAGCAGATTAAAGGTCATTAAGCTGTTTGTTTTGTAGACTTGCCACAGGGGGCGCTGTCAGTGAATTATCAGCCACCATGATGGAGAACTCACACCTACCTTGGCTGCCAATTTGTCAATATGGAGATAGCGATCCTCCCTCATGATCCGGTCCACCAGCTCCAGTACCAGGCGCCTCTTCTCCCCCACAGCAGGGATGTCTGGGGCCCCGCACCTCCGCGTAGGGATCAGGCTGAGAACTGTTCCCGCTCCGCTACACAGGGCCCGCCTGTCCACATAGAAAACAGCCTGGAACACACAACATGCAGACGGATGTCTAGGGGGCTGTGGGGGGGAATTGTGTCGGTGGTGGGGGGGGATGTGTCGGTGTACGGGGGATTGTGTCGGTGTAGGGGGGGATTGTGTCGGTGTAGGGGGGGGTTGTGTCGGTGGAGGGGGGGATGTGTCGTGGGAGGGGGGGTTGTGTGTCGGTGGAGTGGGGGGGCTATGTCGGTGTGGGGGGGGGGTGTTGTGTCAGTGGGTTTGGGGGGGGATGTGGTGGTTGGGGGGGGGGGATGTGTTGAAAGGGGGGATGTGTCGGGGGTGGAGGGGGGGGGGGTGTGTTGGTGTAGGGGGGGATGTGGTTGGGGGGGGGGGGGTTGTGTCGGTGGAGGGGATGTGTCTGTGTAGGGGGGGCTTGTCGGTGTGGGGGGGTGGTGGGTAGGATTGTAGGGGGTGTTGTGTTTGGAGGGGGGGGATGTGTGGGGGGGATGTGTTGGTGTTAGGGGGGCTGTGTTGTAGGGGGGGATGTGTGGGGGGAAAGGGGGGGGATGTGTCGGTGTATGATGGGGGGGTGTGTGGTAGGTGTGGGGGGGGGGGATGTGTGGGGGGAAAGGGTTTGTGGGATGTGTGGGGGGGGGGGGATGTGTTGGGGTGTGGGTGTTGGTTGGGTTGGTGTGGGGGGGTTGTGTGGGGGTAACGGGGGGGGGTGGTCTGATTTGTTGTGTGTGTGTTTGGGTTGTATGTGTTTTTTGTAGGGGGGGTTGTTGTTTTTGGAGGGGGGGGGGGTGTGTGTGGGGGGGTGGTGGTTTTGTGGGATGTGGTCGGTTTGGTGCGGGTTGTTTTTGGTGGTGGGGGGGGGGATGTGTGTGTTTGTGGGGGGTGGGGGGGGGGGGGGTTGTTGGGTGTATGGGTGGGTTTGGATGTGTTGTGGAGGTGTTGGGGTGTGTTGGGGGAGGGTGTGGGGGGGGTGTGTGGGGGGGGTGGGGTTGTGGGATTGTTTTTGTTGGGGTTTTTTGTTGTGTGTGGAGGGGGGGGGATGTTTTCGGGGAGGGGGGTGTGGGTGGGGTTGGGGGGGGGGGGATGTGTGGGGTGTTTGTTGGGGGGATTGTGGGGGGGGGTGGGGGGGGGGTGTGGGGGGTGGGGGTTTGTGGTTTTGTGTTGGTGGGTGGGGGTTGTGTGTTGGTGGGGGGGGGTGTTGGTGGAGGGTTTGGGGGGGGGAGTTTGTTGGTGAGTTGTTGGGTCAGTTATAGGTCAGTTGTCAATCAGTTGTCGGTCAGTTGTCGGTGAGTTGTGGTGGTTGTCGGTCATTGTAGGTCAGTTGTCAGTCCAGTTCCTGGGTCAGTTGTCGGTGAGTTCTTGGTGAGTTGTCGGTCAGTTATAGTGTCAGTTTCAGTCATTGTCGATTGTGTGCTCGTGTTGATAGGGGATGGGTTATTATTGGGGGCAGTGTGGGGGGGGGGTGTGCAGGTTTGCACATGTTCCTCCATCCTATGTGGCCACATACCGGTTTCCTCCCGTATTTGCCAGGATTCCAGTCTTCGCTGTGAGCGGCTCCAGACAATCCCTCAGCAGACCGTCAGGCACTCCCGTTTTGTTCCGCCTATCCTCCTCCTTGGAAATGTCCTGCAATAGAGCAGAGGAGGTCAGGTGGGTTTTAGGGTTTCTCCCCAGGTCAGTGGTGGGGTACCTCCACCCCCCAGTGACATCACAAAGCATTGTCACACCGCGCAAACGACGCTACATTTGCTGAAAACCTATTTACATGACGGCAAGGTTTCGGCTGGGAGCTCCCTGGGGTTCGATGCGACGCTTGCTGCAGATCCCAGTTTTTTCAGCTGATGGAGGACTTTAGTTTGGGGGGGGGCGGTTTTGAGGAGCTCAGTGATTGGGGGACGGTTGGAGGAGCTCAGTGATGGGAGACGGTTGGAGGAGCTCAGTGATGGGGGTTTTGGAGGAGCTTGGAGTGATGGGGGACGGTTGGAGGAGCTCAGTGATGGGGGACGGGTTGGAGGAGCTCAGTGATGGGGGACGGTTGGAGGAGCTCAGTGATGGGGGATTGGTTGGGGGGATTCAGGATGGGGGACGGTTGGAGGAGCTCAGTGATGGGGGACGGTTTGGAGGAGCTCAGTGATGGGGGACGGTTGGGAGGAGCTCAGTGATGGGGGACGGTTGGAGGAGCTCAGTGAATGGGGGACGGTTGGAGGAGCTCAGTGATGGGGGACGGTTGGAGGAGCTCAGTGATGGGGGGTCGGATGGATGGAGCTCAGTGATGGGGGACGGATGGAGGAGCTCAGTGATGGGGGACGGGTTGGAGGAGGCTCAGTGATGGGGGACGGTTGGGAGGAGCTCAGTGATGGGGGGGACGGTGGAGGAGCTCAGTGATGGGGACGGTTGGAGGAGCTCAGTTTTGAGGTGGGGGAGTTTGGTTGGAGGAGCTCAGTGATGGGGGGGGGTTGGAGGAGCTCAGTGATGGGGGGCGGATAGAGGAGCTCAGTGATGGGGGATGGATGGAGGAGCTCAGTGATGGGGGGGGATGGAGGAGCTCAGTGATGGGAGACGTGTTGGAGGAGCTCAGTGATGGGGGACGGATGGAGGAGCTCAGTGATGGGAGACGGTTGGAGGAGCTCAGTGATGGGGGACGGATGGAGGAGCTCAATGATGGGGGATGGAGGATGTGATGGGGGAGGGAGGAGCTCAGTGATGGGGGAGGGACCCCCCCACTGAGCCCAGTGATGGGGGAGGGAGGAGCCCCAGTGATGGGGGAGGGAGGAGCCCAGTGATGGAGGAGCTCAGTGATGGGGGAGGGAGGAGCCAAGTGATGGGGGGGAGGGAGGAGCCCAGTGATGAAGGAGCTCAGTGATGGGGAGGGAGGAGCCCAGTGATGGAGGAGCCCAGTGATGGGGGGTGGGAGGAGGCCCAGTGATGGGGAGGGAGGGAGCCCAGTGATGGAGGAGCTCAGTGATGGGGGAGGGAGGAGCCCAGTGATGGGGGAGGGAGGAGGAGCCCAGTGATGGGGTTTAGGGAGGGAGCCCAGTGATGGAGGAGCTCAGTGATGGGGGAGGGAGGAGCCCAGTGATGGAGGAGCTCAGTGATGGGGGAGGGAGGAGCCCCCCCAGTGATGGAGGAGCTCAGTGATGGGGGAGGGAGGAGCCCAGTGATGAAGGAGCTCATGATGGGGGAGGGAGGAGCCCAGTGATGGAGGAGCTCAGTGATGGGGGAGGGAGGAGCTCAGTGATGGGGGAGGGAGGAGCCCAGTGATGAAGGAGCTCAGTGATGGGGGAGGGAGGAGCCCAGTGATGGAGGAGCTCAGTGATGGGGGGAGGGGGGAAAGCCCGGATTATTACTTGGGTTATTTTTGCAGATCAGATACTTCATTTTTGCTTCTCTGAAGGCGGAGCTACACTGACTACTAATGAATGCCTCTATGGGGGGGCGGGGCCCCCGGCAGCCAATCACATTTTCAGGAATGGATCCGAATTGGTTGCCTCCAGGTTGGGGCCCTGACCACGCCCAGACACAAAGGGCGCCTCTCACCTCCTGCTGGTTGAAGTTGCTAGTACAATAGGAACATCTGTAGGGTGGAGACCTGGGGGGTTCAGACCCGCCATATTGGACCTCCGCCTTCCCCAACCACGTCCACTGCAGCTGCTGTGATTGGCCAATCATGGGGAAGCCTGGGAGAGCCGGACCTGCAGAACACAGAACCTTCCATTATTACAGGCCGAGGTCTGTACGGGGCGGACATACCGCGGGATCTGAGGCTTCCGCCTACACAGATCACACCCCCCCCACGCCTCTTGTTCACCCCGCACTTCAGATCTATGCAGCTCCGTCACACACAGCACAGCAATGTCACCTACAGGTCTCCTCCCACCTTTTGACTGGACCGTTTGAAAGGAGAAGCAGCAAACCAATTTTTTCATTATCTCTCTGCCAGTCTTGGCTCTAAACTCCTTATTGGCTCCAGTGCCATCGTGATTCTAATGGGGGGTGGGGATGGGACCCGGGCGACCCCTGCCAAGGGGTTGACCCTCCCAGAGGCAGTCTGCACCCCATAGTGACACGGCCCGTTAGGGGCCCAATGAGAGAATCATTGCCAGGAGGGGTGGGCTGCGGTCGGGGCTGCCTCACCAAATGCCATCTGTTCATACTCCCCCCCCCCAACCCCCCTCCCCCCCACCCGAGAGATACTGTAATAATATTTAGGGGAGGGGCGGCGGCATCTGTCGAAATCGCTAGCATCCGGCATTACATGGTTGACCCGCCCTTGATCCCTTTTCCATCCCTCATTAAATCCCCGTCCCCGAGACTCCTCCCTATAATTATGACCCGTGAAGACAACGGAGAGAGATACCCCCCCCCCCCGTCCAACCTCTCTCTTACCCCGCATTCATCTCTTACCCTTACCCCCCTTCTCTCTTACCACCCCCCTCTCTCTCACCCCCCCCTTCTCTCTTTACCCCCCTCTCTCTCACCCCCCCCCCTCCTTTTTTACCACCCCCCTACTAACCAAAAGCTCCAACCCCCCCCTACCCTCTTTACCCCCCATTTCCCCCCTTAGCAATTTTACCCCCATCCCTCCCTCTCTCTCTTTTACCCCCCCCCCCCCCCTTACCCCTCCATCCCCCTCCCCTCCCCTCACCTACCCACCCCCCCCCCCCCCCCCCTTTCCACCCCCCCCTCTCCTTACCCCTCCCATCTCTCCTCCCCAACCCCATCCCCCCCTCTCCCCTACCCCCCCTTTCCATTACCCCCCCCCCCCCCAATCTCTACCCCCTCCATCCACCCCCCTTACCACCCCCCCCCCCACCCCTCCTTCCTGTTTACCCCCCTTTCCTCTCCTCCCCCCCCCCCCCCCCCTCTCCCCCTTTTTTTTTTCAAAAAAGAGGTGTTTATTGAAAACCCCCCCCACAGATTGATACAAGACAGAATTAAATTTCAAACGGGTTGAACATAGGGCATAACCACACCCCCCCTCTCTTACCCCCTCTCCATCCTTCTCTTACCCCCCCATCCCCCCATTCCCTACCCCCCACCCCCCCCCCACCTTACCCCCCCTCCTACCCACCCCCCCCCCCAACCTCTCTTACCTCTCCATCCTCCCCCCCCCCCATCTCACCCCCCCCCCCCTCTCCCTTCCTCTCCCCCCCCCCCCCATCCCCCCCCCCCCCCCCTCCTAACCCCCCCCCCCCCCCCCCCTCCCCCCCCCCCTCCTCCCCCACCCCCCCTTCCCCCCCCCTAAACCCCACCCCCCCCACTTTCCCCCTCTACCCCCCCCCCCCCCTCCTTACCTCCCCTCTCTCTCTCGCCTTACCCACCCCCCCTTCCCCCCCCTCCCCCCCCCTTACCCCTCCCCACCCCCCCCCCCCCCCCCCCCTCCCCTACCCCTCTCCCTTTCCACCCCCCCCCCCCCCCTCCCCCCCCCCTCCCTCCCCCCCCCTCACCCTATCCCCCTTACCCCCCCCCCCCCCTCCCCCCCCCCCTTACCTCCCACCCCCCCACCCCCCCCCCCCTCTCCCCCCCCCCCACTCCATCTCTCTCCCTTACCACCCCCATCCCCCCCTCACCCCCCTTCCCTTACCATCCCCCCCCCCCCCTCCACCCCACCCCTCTCTCCCCTTCTCCCCCTCTTCTTTACCCCCCACCCCTTCCTTCCCTTACCACCCCTCTACCCTACCCCCCCTCTCCCCCCCTCCCCCACCCCCCTCTCCCCCCCCCCCCCCTTCCCTTCCCCCCCCCCCCCTTCTCTTACCCCCTCTCCCCCCCCCACCCTCCACCACACCCCTCTCCTCCCTCCCTCTTACCCCCTCATCCCTCCTCCCCCTCATCCCCCTCCCCCCCCCCCCCCCCCCCTCCCCTTCCCTACCCCTCATCCTCCTCCCTCTTTTACCCCCCATTCCCCCCTCCTCCCCTCCCCCCCCTCCCCCTCTCCCTCCCCCCCTCATCCCTCAATTTCCCCCTCATCTTTCCTCCTCTCCCCCCTCTCACTCTCCCTCCCTCTCCCCCTCCATCCCAACTCTCCACACTCTTCCCCCCCCCCCCATCAATCTCTTACCCCCTCATTCCTCTCCTCTCCTCCTCTCCCCCCCTCATCTCTCTCTCTCTCTTACCCCCCTCATCTCTCACTCCCCTCTCTCCCCCCCTCATCCTCCTTCCCCCCCTCATCTCTCTCTCTTACCCCCTCATCTCTCTCTCCCCCCCTTTCTCTCTCCTCTCCCCCCCCTCCATCCCTCTCCTCTCCACCCCCATCTCTCTCACTCTTACCCCCCTCATCCTCCTCACTCATTACCCCCTCCATCTCTCTCTCTCTTTACCCTCCATCTCTCCCCTCTCCACCCCCCCCCCCCAACCGCCCCTCTTACCCCCATCTCTCTCTTATCCCCTCATCACTCACTCTCTCCTCCCCACTCCCCTCTCCCCCCCTCCCATCTCTCTCTCTCCTTTCCCCCCCCCCACCTCTCTCTTCCCCCCCCTCCCCCTCCTCCTTCCCCCCTCCACATCTCTCCCCTCCTCACCCCCCTCATCTCTCTCACTCTTCATAAATCCCCCCCCCCTTCCTCCCTCTCTCTCACTCTCACCCCCACCATCTCTCTCTCTCTTCCCCCTTCATATTCCTGACTGCTTGGGATGTCCCACACCAATGAACATGAGGGGTCGTGCAACAAAAGCCAACATATCCAAACCCAGAATAGGGGAACCTCAGTACAAAGCCGCCTGAAAGACCCCAAAGTGGAGTCCACAGAGGTGAGAACACATCACCAGATGTGTGGAGAGAAGACCAGGCATCGGCCTTACAGACCTCAACAACAAAAGCTTGACGCTGAATTGTCCCATGACTCTGTGGAAGGGGCCTTCACCAGGAAAGAGGAACCTTGCCCTCGATATCATACGTTGAAGAAATGAGCTGATAAATCCACCGAGAAATAGTTGTATCGAGAAGCAGCCTGACCCTTACAAGGACCTTCTGGTGGAACAAACTGACTGATGAAACAAAGCTCAAACATCCAACAAGTGAATCCTTGGGATTTGGAAATAATGGCAACACAATGTCCTGATTCTGGTGGAACAAAGACACCACCTCGGTAAAAAAAAGAAAAACGTTCTTCAACACACTTATTCTGGTAAAGACTCAAGAAAGGTTCTTTGCAGGAAAGAAAGCCAACTCCGACACTCCTACCCGAGCCGAGGTAAGGACAACCTTGTACATAGGAAGTGACAACGGAATCTCTCAGGTGGGCTAAGATGGAGAAGTCTATAAAAGACAAGTCCCAAATGAGATCCCATGGAGACAAGGGGGGCTGCAAAGGTGAGCAGTCCATGTGACACCCTGCATAAAAGGTTTTTTACCAAGAAGTGACACGTGATAGGCCTATGACACAGAGCAGTCAAAACTGAGATCTGCTCCTTGATGGTACTTACAACCAGAGACCGATTCCACATCCAGGATGAAGAAAAGCCCAAACTGCACCCCTCAACATACCATCAAAATAAGCCTCCCATGTACGATGGTACCCTTAGAAGAGTCAGAAACACCCCTGATGATAAGCATGAAGGTTTCAACAGTCATGCCGTCAAAGACAGCAGTCATAAAGCAGGATGGTAGATCAGAACTTGAGATCTGGACGTTCCCATGGCTCATCTGCCAAGAGATTTACTATGTTCACATGCCCACGTTCTTCATGGCCATGTTGGTGCGATTCACCAGAATGTCCTCCACCTTTATCCTGCACAACAGTTAATGAAGAAGCAGGAGTTCCAAATAGGCTTAGATCAAGGAGAACTGATCTCAAGAAGTCTCACCACCAGTGCATCCACCGCAAATGCCCAAAGAATCCATGGTCTAGGACACCAACCTGTTCAGCCTATTGTTGAACCCTGGACACCAACAGATGCACATTTGGCTTCCCCCACAGCACACTGTGCTAGTGAGCATCATAGAGAGCTGGAACCCAAAGTTCTGTCCAAGACAAGATCAGTTCTGCTTCTTTCTAAGCAGCAGAACGTCTTGTCTCCCCTTGATGGCTAATGTATGCCACCACTGTGAGAGATAGGGGACAGACATTTCTCTCTGCAAGAAGCCATACTCTCACCCCGTTATCCGTGTCTAGTGCTAAGCCGAAATAATCCAGACATTCCGTGTCAGAACCAAGGCCAACTCCTGAAGGTTCAGAACCCAACCATGAGCCAATCTGAGCCATAGGGATCCTCCCTCAAATGACAGACTTGTTGCCCAACCTGAAAGGACATCATATCAGGTCTTGTAAAGCATCTACCGTGACACTCAAGGGTTTGATTCTCTGGAACGAAGAATATATACTTTGCCCAAACTTTGGAGGGTTAGACAAAGTACTGGAGTTCACATCAGGCTTCAGCAATGCTCCCATACAGAGAAAAACGCCCTAAAAAAGGCCTCCAACCACTTATCCATTGCGTCTTTAAAGATCGGGATCATCAAGTTAGGCAGGGGAAGATTTAGGATTCTTAGGCATCTACTGGGACCCAAATCCAAATAACTTTTTGGAGAAGAGGACTGTGGAAGAGGCAACTTCATCCACCATCAAGCCCACTGTTGTCCTTTGCATCTGAGACATCCATGGACCCCCGAGTCTCCTCCTGAGAGGACTAGTCCAAAGATGATCCTCAATGACTTCCTATGAGGCCTAGTGCTCCCACAAAAGGAGAGGAGAGGGAGAGAGTCCTCAGCATACAAACCCAGAAAAGAACCCCTAAGAGCTGTTTACACAAACCAGAAAACTGATGACATTTCCTCCAGAGATACAAAGGAACTGGAGGAATGTTCCCCTGAGACAGTGGAAATGCCAGAAAAGGACAATCTGACCATTAGAGGAACCATTACAGCATGGACCAGGGGATCCTGGGATCTCACCCCAACATGCTCTCCCCCACCTCTGTGTGTGCGAGCCACCATGGCTAGCTGAGGAACAATCGGCATATAACCCTAGGAACAGTGGGTGCCACCGAGCGCAGGCACCATCATCCCAGTACTGTCCCTGGCCTTCCATGCAGGGTCCTGAGTACCCATGCCCCCCCCGTCCTTCCATGCAGGGTCTGAGTACCGACCCACGGCCTTTCCATGCGGTCTGAGTACCGACCCCCGCTTCCATGCAGGGTCTGAGTACCGTCCCTGGCCCATTCCATGCATGCTAGGCCCCCTCCTTGCCATGAGGGTCCCGTAATCCGCCCCCGGCCTCCACTCACCTGAGTACCGTCCCTGGCCTTCCATGCAGGGTCTGCCGCCCCCGGCCTTCCATGCAGGGTCTGAGTACCGACCCCCGGCCTTCCATGCAGGGTCTGAGTACCGCCCCCTGGCCTTCCATGCAGGGTCTGAGTACCGTTCCTTGGCCTTCCATGCAGGGTCTCCTGTGGCCTCCTCTCTTTCTGTCCCCGGCCTTACCATGCCTTCCTGGGTCTGAGTACCGACCCCGGCCTTCCATGCAGGGTCTGAGTACCGCCCCCGGCCTTCCATGCAGGTCTGAGTACCAGCCCCCGCCTCCATGCAGGGTCTGAGTACCGCCCCCGGCCTTCCATCAGGTCTGAGTACCCCTCCCGGTCTAAGCCTCCTCTGAGTACCCCCTCCCGGCCTTCCATGCAGGGTCTGAGTACTGTTCTTCGGCCCCAGGGCTGTAGGTGACTGATTCAGGTGAAGCCTTTTCCTGGGCTGGGAGGGGTTATGTCTGGGTGGGGAAGCCGACCTTTGACCCAAACAGTCATGAATATGAAGAGGCCTCATGTGCTGATGTACAATACTAAACACATGGACTCCGCCCATAATAGTGGACTGACAGCATCCTCCAATCACTTACACTTCCTGAAGAAGGTGGAGAACCTCAGCAGAGGGCGAGCCAAGGAGCTGGGAAAATATTTCTGTGGGTCGTCCATAAAGAAGTGAGCAGAACACGGCCAACACAGAGAGGAGAGGACACAGACCTCAACATGTGACCCGTCCTTCATCCCACCGACATCCTTCATCCACCGACGTCCTCCATCCCACCGACGTCCTCCATCCCACCGACGTCCTTCATCCCACCGACGTCCTCCAGAGTCACCTGAGATTAGAACCCAAATCCATGAAAAACAGACGGACAGTAAAACCTAGAGTCTACACTTCATTCATAACCCCTTCCAATGATTCCCAGAATACACTCCTACCCCCCCCATCCATCAATCCTGTCCCACCATCTCTCCTCCTCCAGAATACACTTCTATCCCATCCATTCCTGTCCCACCACCATCCTGCGAATTAACGTCTACCTCATCCAATCCCGTCCCACCATCTCTCCTCCTCCTCCTCCAGAATACACTTCTATCCCATCCATTCCCCTACTCTCACCATCCTGAGAATAAACTGCTACCCCATCCAATCCCGTCCACCATCCCTCCTCCTCCTCCAGAATACACTCCTACCCCATCCAATCCCATCCCACCATCCTGAGAATAAACTGCTACCCCCATCCAATTTCCGTCCCACCAATCCCTTCTCCTCTCCTCCAGAATACACTCCTACCCCATCCATTCCCTACTCACCATCCCCTCCTCCTCCAGAATACACTCCTACCCCCATCCATACCCCTTTCCACCATCCCCTCCTCCTCCAGAATACACTCCTACCCCCATTCCATCCCCTCTCACCATCCCCTCCTCCTCCAGAATACACTCCTACCCCCATCCATCCATTCCTCTCTCACCATCCCCTCCTCCTCCAAAATACACTCCTACCCCCATCCTTCAATCCCGTCCCACCATCCCTCCTCCTCCCACCAGAATACACTCCTACCCCATCCAATCCCATCCAACCATCCCCTCCTCTTCCTCCAGAAAACACTCCTACCCCATCCATTCCCCTCTCACCATCCCTCCTCCTCCAGAATACACTCCTACCCCATCCATTCCCCTCTCACCATCCCCTCCTCCTCCAGAAAACACTCCTTACACTCACCCCATCCATTCCCCTCTCACCATCCCTCCTCCTCCTCCAGAATACACTCTTACCCCATCCATTCCTCCTCTCACCATCCCCTCCTCCTCCAGAATACACCCTCCTACCCCATCCATATCCCTCTCACCATCCCCCTCCTCCTCCAGAATACACTCCTACCCCATCCATTCCCCTCTCACCATCCCTCCTCCTCCTCCAGAATACACTCCTACCCCATCCATTCCACCATCCCCCCTCCCCTCCAGAATACACTCCTACCCCCATCCTCCTCCACCATCCCCTCTCTCCTCCAGAAACACATACCTCCCATACACCCTCCTCCTCCTCACTTCTATCCATCCATTCCCATCTCAACCATCCCCTCCTCCTCCAGAATACACTCCTACCCCATCCATCCTGTCCCTCTCATCCCCCCCTCCTCCTCCAGAATACACTCCTACCCCATCCATTCCCTCTCACATCCCCTCCTCCTCCCCCCTCCAGAATACACTCCTACCCCCATCCATTCCCCTCTCACCATCCCTCCTCCTCCTCCAGAATACCCCATCCATCCCCCCAAGCCAATCCTTCTCCTTCTCCAGAATACACTCTACCCCATCATCCCCTCCCCCTCCTCACACTCCTACCCCATCCCATAAAATCCCTGTCCCACCATCCCCCCACTCCCCTCCTCCAGAATACACTCCTACCCCATCCTACCCATCCATTCCTCATCTCACCATCCCCTCCCACTCCTCCAAAATACACTCCTACCCCCCATCCATCCCCTCCCACCATCCCCTCCTCCTCCAGAATACACTCCTCCCCATCCATTCCTCATCCTCCTCATACCCCTCCCACTCCCCTCTCCTATAACACATCTATCCCCATCCATTCCCCTCCTCCTCCAGAATACACTCCTACCCCCCCCCATAATAACTCCCCCATCCATCCCGTCCCACCATCCCCTCCTCCTCCATTCCCAGAATCCACACTCCTACCCCATCCAATCCCGTCCACCTCCATCCATACAATCCTCCTCCTCCCCTCTCCTCCAGAAAACACTCCTACCCCATCCATTCCCCTCTCACCATCCTCCTCCTCCTCCAGAATATTACACTCCTACTACCTCCAATCCCCCTCCTCACCATCCCCTCCTCCTCCAGAATACACTCTCTACCCCATCCATTCCCCTCCACCCATCCCCTCCTCCTCCAGAATACACTCCTACCCCCATCCATTCCCCCCTTAAAATCACCATCCCCCCTCCTCCTCCAGAATACACTCCTACCCCATCCAATCCCCTCTCAACCATCCCCTCCTCCTCCCTCCAGAATACACTCCTACCCCATCCATTCCCCTCTCACCATCCCCTCCTCCTCCAGAATACACTCCTATCCTCCATCCCGTCACCATCCACCTCCTCCTCCAGAATACACTCTTACCACCATCCATTCCCCTCTCACCCTACATCCCCTCCTCCCTCCAGAATACACTCCTATCCCATCCCACCATCCCCTCCTCCTCCAGAATACACTCCTACCCCATCCATTCCCCTCCTCACCATCCCATCCACCATCCTCCTCCTCCAGAATACACTCCTACCCCATCCATTCCCCTCTCACCATCCCCTCCTCCTCCAGAATACACTCCTACCATCCCCATCCAATCCTGTCCCCATCCATCCCCTCCCCCCTCATCCAATACCCGTCCCACCATCCCCTTCACTCCTCCAGAATACACTCCTACCCCATCCATCCAATTCCCCTCTCACCATCCCCTCCTCCTCAGAATACACTCCTACCCCATCCATTCCCTCTCACCATCCCCTCCTCCTCAGATAATGACCGCAGTGTCCACCTCCTTCAGCCGGTGTAGATGTTCTTCTCTCTGAAGATCTTTGGACTCCTGCAGATTATTTAACATTTGCTGAGGAAACCGATTTGGAAAACAAATTCCAATCCGATCGACCACAAAATCCTCCAACCAGCAATGTCCGAAGGTGAGGAGACGGTCAGCCAGGTAATGCCTGCAATGCATCATGGGTAAGAGACATGCAAAGGGACAAGGCAGCAAATCTTCATCTACAAACCTAACCAAACCACCCATCCCCCCCTGTATATACACCCATCCCCCCCTGTATATACAACCATCCCCCCCCGTATATACACCCATCCCCCCCCCTCTGTATATACACCCATCCCCCCCCTCCATATATACACCCATCCCCCCCCCTCTATATACACCCCATCCCCCTGTCCACCCATCCCCCCCCCCCCGTATATACACCCATCCCACCCCCCTGTATATACACCCGACCCCCCCCGTATATACACCCATCTCACCCCTCCATATATACACCCATCCCCCCCCCCTCTATATACACACCCATCCCCCCCTGTATATACACCCATCCCCCCCCCCGTATATACACCCATCCCCCCCCCCCTGTATATACACCCATCCCCCCCCCCCTGTATATACAACCATCCCCCCCCTCGTATATACACCCATCCCACCCCCCCCGTATATACACCCATCCCCCCCCTCTGTATATACACCCATCCCCCCCCTCTGTATATACACCCATCCCACCCCCCGTATATACACCCATCCCCCCCCCTCGTATATACACCCATCCCACCCCCCGTATATACACCCATCCCCCCCCTCTGTATATACACCCATCCCCCCCCTGTATATACACCCATCCCACCCCCGTATATATACACCCATCCCCCCCCATATATACACCCATCGCACCCCCCCCTATATACACCCATCCCCCTGTATATACACCCATCCCCCCGTATATACACCCATCACACCCCCCTGTATATACACCCGACCCCCCGTATATACACCCATCCCACCCCCTGTATATACATCTATCACACTCCCTGTATATACACCCATCCCCCCCCCCCCCGTATATACACCCATCCCCACCCCGTATATACACCCGACCCCCCCATCCTACCCCCTCTATATACACCTATCACACACCCCTGTATATCCACCCATCACACTCTGTATATACACCCATCCCCCCCTGTATATACACCCCCCCGTATATACACCCATCACACACCCCGTATATACACCCACCCATCACAGCCCCGTATATACACCCATCCCCCCTGTATATACACCCATCACACCCCCTGTATATACACCCATCACACACCCCCGTATATACACCCATCCCCCCCGTATATACACCCATCCCCCCCGTATATACACCCATCCCCCCCCCTGTATATACACCCATCACCCCCCCCCGTATATACACCTATCACACCCCCTCTATATACACCCTATCACACCCCCTCTATATACACCCCCATCACACCCTCTGTATATACACCCATCACCCCCCCCCCCCGTATATACACCTATCACACCCCCTCTATATACACCCATCACCCTCTATATATACACCATCACACCCGCTGTATATACACCCATCACACCCGCTGTATATACACCCATCACCCCCCCCCCCCGTATATACACCTATCACACCCCCTCTATATACACCCATCACACCCTCTGTATATACACCCATCACACCCCCTGTATATACATCTATCACACCCCCTCTATATACACCCATCACACCCCCTCTATATACCCCCATCACACCCCCCCCTATATACACCCATCCCCCCCGTATATACACCCATCCCCCCCGTATATACACCCATCACACCCCCCGTATATACACCCCATCACACCCCCCCGTATATACACCCATCCCCCCCCGTATATACACCCATCTCACCCCCCGTATATACACCCATCCCCCCGTATATACACCCCCCCCGTATATACACCCACCCCCCGTATATACACCCCATCCCCCCGTATATACACCCATCCCCCCCCCCGTATATACACCCCCCCCGTATATACACCCACCCCCCGTATATACACCCATCCCCCCGTATATACACCCCCCCCGTATATACACCCATCCCCCCCCCCCGTATATACACCCATCTCACCCCCCGTATATACACCCCCCCCCGTATATACACCCATCTCACCCCCTGTATATACACCCATCCC